TCCAAGTGGAAAAATACATGTGAAAGAATATAGTTTGCAGATTTGATCTACCTTGGTCCATAATAGTGGATAATAGCAAACAATTTGAAAATTCAAAGTTCAAGGAATGGTGTTTAAACCTTCATATCGATTTAAGATTTACGTCGATCGCCCACCTTCAATCTAATAGATAGGCCGAAACGATGAACAAAACCATGTTAGAAGCCTTAAAGAAAAGACTAGACATAACGAAAGGAAAGTGGGCTGATGAACTATAAGAGTGTTATAGGCCCTAAAGACACCACTAAGATACCAAAAAACGAAACCTTGTTTCATCTAGTATTTGGAATAGAGGCCATGGTACCTATCAAGATCAACTTTTTGAACTTAAGGTCAAATTAGGGATAAAAAAAGAAAATGAAAAAGTGTTTAAAGCCTATCTAGACCTTGTTGAAGAACAAAGAGATATAGCTATAACACAAATAGCGACTTATCAACAAAATGTGTCTAGCTATTATAACATAAAGGTCTGACCTAAGCATATTAGGAAAGCTGACCTGATATTTAGAAAAGTTAAAGCCTTAAAAGTAGATGATCGGGGTGACAAATTAACCTCTACCTAGAAATGACCAAATTTAGTTAAAGAGATCGTCCATGATGAAACTTATAAACTATAAGATATGAGAGATAATGTCATCCCAAGGATATGAAATATGAATAACTTAAAGGTTTATTATCAATAGCTCGGACTAAATTGAGCTCACACTTATATTCTGTACTTGAATATATAAATCAAATTATGCTAAGTCGATGATACTTATGCTCATATTGAGCTTATGGCCCAACCGATCTAACAAAATCTAATTTGGCTTTTAGATAGATTATAAAGTTAACTTGATTTGAGTGCTTGGACAAACTTTTAGCCCACTTAATGGGGCTTTGATCAAATTAACCTTTGTTGAATCAAACACCAAGATTAGACTTGTACAAATAAAGAAAAAATATCATGATTATCATGATCACCAAGCTTAAACTTGTGCGGATAAAGAAAAAATTATAATAGAAGAATTTAGTTGAAGCTTAAATTGAACTGAACAAAAATTTATATCTAATTTTCTATTGATACAAAAGTTGTTAATAAATGATTCATCATAGATCATTCCTATTTGAGGTCATCACAAAAACTGACTTCATACATCAGTAATTCTAAAATAAAAAATTTATAAAAGTTAAAAAAAAAGAATTATATATCAGCAACATTACAACAGTGGTAATAATGGCATCCTTATCAGTAGGAGCAGCAGCAATAATCTCAACCTCTAACTCAGCTGTTACATAATACCACTTTTATTATTAGGGTGTTTTTTAATGGACAAAAAATTATTTAAATAGAAGGAGAGTGGGGAGAATGTGCAGATGTTTATAAAGAATAATAAAGCTAACTATGTATCATATAAAGTTAGGAGTAAAATGAGTGATAGTCAAATTACAAGAATTAAAAATTAAAATAAAAAAAAAATAAAGTGAAAACCTTAGATCAACCATGAAAGAATCCCAATATACATACAATTGATGTGGCTACAGTCTATCAATGACTTGATTTGAGGAGTTCGGTATTAAATTGTTATACCTCTCTTTGGAAAAAAAGAAGGTCATCTCTAGACCACAGACGTGATGAATTAAACACATGTTAAGATAGTTTTTAGGATTAGCCTTGCCCTTTAGTTCCCTCATCATGTCTTTAAGGATCATATTGAAATCACAAAGAGTATTTATAGAAACCTCAGCCAATTCATCATATTCCACAGGATCCCTCTTCTTACTGTCATTTTTTCTAGCTGTGGTGCTCTCTTCCATTTGTTTCTCCTCAAAACCTTCCTTATCATTAAAATTTTCACCATAAAAAAACTTTGACTCTTGTACAGGAGTAAAATTTTAAGGTTGAACCGTGGTTGAGAGCAATATGACTCCGAGGGAAGAAAATGAGGTAGAAACCCTTTAAAAGATGAAGTAATCTCAACAAGAATTAATCGAGGTGGAACAAAAGTGACAACAAGAGCATCAATTGGTGGAAAAGTAGAAATAGAAGAAAATTAATGAGACCAAACCCTAGAAGGGAAAACATCAAAAATTGAAAGAATGTCAGCTATAGAAGATGGATCGACCTAAGAGATGGAGAAAATAGGTAGATTTTATAGGTCAAAATTTATTTGAGCACACATTTCCTCTGTGTTCAAGACTTATTCTCCTTTGCCTGAGCATTGTCCTCATTTTTCTATTACACTTCTTTAGACATTGGGTTGAACAAAAAGGCCATCCTTTGACAATCATGACCTTCAATGACTAGCAAAAATAAGCCATCATCATCCCGTATGAGCTGACCTCTCCTATGTTTTACGTTGAAACTCTTGGCTTTCCTAAAACTTAAACTAGAAAACATAGTTGAAAATATTCACTAAAGAAAATGGAGAAAAATGGACGATAAGAAAAACAACTTTAAACAAAAAGTTTTTAAGATCGAAAAATTAAGATCGAACTAAAAGCAAAGAAAGCAGAAAGGTGAAAAACGAAAGCCTTCATAGCCTTTTATATAGCCATATCGCAGATCAGATGAATGGCACAGACCATGCCATGTGTTAGAGCGAATATGGGAAGGTGTCATTTTGTTTTCCCTTTTTAAATTTTCTCACTCAAACTACCTCTTTCTTCATTTAATGTTATTAGACCTGTCAAACTAGATGAATCTCAGATTAGACCAGCAGCCAACTCCCTGAGATAGATTGGATGCCCAGTCCATTGTCAGAGTTCAAAATAAATACTTGAATCCTTTCCAAGTAATAAAACACAAGTCCCACATCGACTAGACAAACTCTAGTACTAATCTCGGATTATCCTGAGCAATTAACATCTCAACAACTTTTCAGTCGACTAGACACCAATCCAAGACATATATTTAAGATCAAACTCCCAACAGGTCAGACCACGGCTTAAGGCTGCTTATCCTCTGATGCTGATCTCCTTTATGACGTTGGCTGCAAGGAATCTAATTTCACCTTATCTCTTTTTACCTGTCCACCCTACATAGAATGTGTCGATCGCATACCCAATAATCTAATATTCTATTTGCTTGATGGGGAGACAGAATGTTGGGGGCATTTAATGATCAGACGAGTATAGTGGTTTTTTTTTTTTTTATGTTAGAAGCCTTCAATAGACAACCAAAGGTAATTTCGATATTTGTACCGACCTGACATGTCAGGTCAATTTGACATACTTAATGCTATATCAACTCGATATTGTCTTTATTATCCCCTAATTGTCCTCTATCACCTATCTATAAATATGAAAGTTCATGCACTATTAAGGTTAGTTCATTATACTTTTAATTCTCCTTATTACTCTCTTTTTAACCTCATTTAGTCTGACTTACAAGTCAAAATATAAATGTAAAAGATAATCTTTATCTTTGGCTTTAACTGTCGTTCTCTTTTATTTTTTTCAAAAATACCTTGAGACAAGAGCTTGGCATAAACAAGTATCCAAAGAGACACTCTAACTATTAAAACTTAAAACTCCAACTACTTCATAAATGAAAAAGTTTAAGATTTATGGGACGTGATAGAATTATTTTTAATTGTGTTATCTAATAAAATCAAAATGTAAACAAAATAATAAAATTTTTAATAATATTAATTTACAATATAGAAATCAAAGACTGATACTTTTATTAAGATATAAATATTTATATATATTTTTATACATATGATATTAGGCTATACATTGGAGTAAACAATGAGTGAAAAATCTCTCTCGACTTATAAATCTCACCCGTGCTCATCCTAGAATTCGAGCTCCAGAACTTCAAAATGGAGTCCAAAGGTTTTGGTTTTTCGGTAAGGATGAGGGCGAACAAATAATTATATACAACTTTTATTTTTTTTATTTGATCAAAGTTCGAATTTGATCTACTCTTTTTCAATTGTGCAAGTTTGATTGCGGTCTAGATCTCTCTACTCTTTCAATTCTGCAATTTTGAAAGCAGTCTAAGAGTCACCCTGCTGCATTAGGACCTTAATGAGTTACCGAACAGGCCGGGTTGAAGTCTATTTTAACGAGCAGAATGCGTTGGTTGAATATGTGGTAGCGACGCTATAATAGAGGATGTAATGTTAAATGATTGATCATAGCTGATGAAGTTTATTTGGCGCTCTAGAATATTATCATATGCCACAAGAGAAAGCAGAATGATTGCACAACATCATGCTAAAGGAATTGCTTTTAGAAGCAAGCAACAAAGTGGAGGAAGAAATCTAATACAATCCCAGACCTGAATGAGCAAACATACTCTTGCCTCATTTAAATAAGTAAACTGATAAATATTACTATAGTTATAGATATAATAATTGCATATACTATCAACCATTATTTGTAACCTTGAACTACTTTGAATACCCAAACATTTTCTCCAGCATAGCTTGATTGTTGTACCTAAACTAATATAAGAATTAGCAAAATGCAAGCAAAAAATGCAGAATGAATCACTTTCCCTTCTTTAATACGGTGAATACATTTCCGCCTCAGTTCTCGTCTCACTTGGTTTTCTCAAGCTACCTAACATTCCATTAATCTACTTATCCTTATCACTACCCACTGAGTCTGCAACAAAACAATGGTTTTTTTGCAGCTTTTTCCTCTTTCCACAGTCCTCCAAAGAAGTTTCTGTCATTATGCCTACTGCAGCAGCATCAGAAGGCTTTACATGGTATTCATAACAATCAACCATACCCTCAGAGTTCTCGGAATTATCCTTTCTATCCTCAATTTTCTTGCTACCGTAACATGAATCAAGGACTTGCAACAATGAGCTGGCTTCCTCATCTATTCCTGGCTTCTGTTGCTGTCCTGATTGCTCTGGAATTGATATTTCCCCTTCAGAATCTGAAATTTCATCTCCCGAGAGAGAAGGTTCATAGTCAGGATATGTTATCTTTGTGTCCTCTTTGCTTCCTAATACTAATTGCAGTTCCTTTCTGTTTAACCTTGTGTTGGAAAAGGTCCTAATTCATCCCATGCAGAGTCAAAATCATCACCCTTTGTTGATGAATCAGGCAATTTACAAGCTGCATTCCCTAATTCATGACTTGTATTTTCTCGAATGTTAGAAACAGCAGTTTCCAGGCCAGAATTGTCAGGAACCATACTTGCAGGAAATAAGTAGGAGGACTCTATTTTAATCCCAGGTATTATCTTTAGCAGGGATGCTAACTTTTTGTAACCAAGCTTTTGTGTATCAAGAGGATAACCATACCTCTCAAGGAACAGTTGCCTGAAGGTGCACATATTATATCCTTCAGGGTGTTCCTTTAGTATCTCTTTCACAAGTTTTTGACAGTCAGCCAATATCTCACATCTAGAACGATCAGAAGATTTCTTATTGATGATGGTAGATGAAATTCTAGAATGAGGAATATTCTGCAACTTTTTCTCTCCTTCGTGCTTTGGCTGCAGGTTTGCTTGTGATGGAGTTCGCATAAAGATTGATCTCAACCCATTCACTGCATGTGAATGATCCAAACCAGGACTTTTCTCAACAGCCCTAGTGATCCTGAAAGGAGAAGTTTGGGAGGGGCATTCTTCGATCCATTTCTTATTTGATATTAACAAATCCACCAATTCAAGTAAATCAGCATTACTCAGAGATCTAAGAGCCAACGGTCCTTCCTTCAGTAGATTTTCTGCCATCTCTTCCCTGCAAAAGTTTAACAATCACTAAGACATGATTTTGTTTAAAGCTCCTTCACCTTGTAAAGTTGGAACTCAAATTTCCAATTCAATATCTCATTCTGAAACTGCATCAGATTTGCAATTTTGGATAACATTTGTAGAATATACATATATATATATATTCAATTATGAAATTGTTGACTCATTGGAAAAGAGAAAACAGAAAAATGGTCCTTCTTGCTATTCAACTGCCTTTTGCATGTAAATACACAGTCCGCATCAACCGACACACAAAACTGCATGTACCAACTGAAGGACACATACAAACACATGGACAGTAAACAGAAACCACTGAAGAACTAAGAGCTGAAAAAAAGGGCAAGTTCCCAAGTCTATATATCTACTTTCATTTCTGTAAAATAAACGTGAGCATATTGAAAATACAACAATACAAACAAAGTAACCACAATACATGACAAAAGTCAGAAAATCTGTGTAGTTCAACAATTTAACAAAAGTCAATGCTATTCTGGATTCCATCATGAAAGAAGGCATACATACATTTAAAAAAGTGCAAACTAAGGAAGGAAACAAGCAAACAAACAGATTTTTATCAGCAAGGCACAAGCTAAAAACTAGAGGAAAGAATTAACATACCTTGTCCTAGACTGTATGACAAGAAATGATCCCCTAGGTGAGTCCAGTAAGATTTCCATGTCCTTCCAGAAGGAACCCTGAGTAAAAACCTCAAGCTTTAAAGAATTAGTGTTTGTTTGGTTGTGCTTTTCAAAGGATTGATCACTTGATGCCTCAGAGTCTTGGCTACTTCTCCAAAATTTACACCAGTTGGCAATCCGATTAAACAAACCTGACCTCTTTCCAGAGGGGTTTGCACCTGCTTCAACACTTGCTTTATTGTCCACAGTTGAGTCATTACTTGATGAAGAAACGGTCACTGTATAAGCAACCTCACATGACTTTTCCTCACACTCTTCCTTCATTCCTTCCCTTTCAGAGCTAACCCCAGCGCCTTTTTTCAGAGTATTGTCATTTCGTTTTTGAGAGCTACCTTCAGAATCACCATGTTTTTCTGGAAGGTGATGACTTTTTACCTCGGAATTGCCATTGCTACCACCAAGCCATCTTTGCCAGACTTTTCTAATGAAACTTACTTCAGATGCAGAATCTTGTTCCAGCATAGGAACCTGATGACTCTCAGTAACCTGATCATTAGAAGCTTCAGCAATCTTCTGACAAACTGTAAGGGGCTGTTGGACTTCCTCTGGAGGCTTTTCTGCATTTACTTTAACAAGATTATTATTTTCTGGACGAGTTTGCTGTACCTTTCTTGGAGTATCTCCAGCATTAACTTCAGGGGAATGATGCAATTTAGACTTACCATTTAGAGCAGCACCAACTGACCTGTCATCACCACTCGATCTAGATGAAAATGTGAGCCCTTCTCCATTTCTAAAGACAAGTCCTGCTGATAAACATGGACTAGTCTCAGATAGTTCGCTAGCTTTTGGGGTAATTCCACGTATAAAAAACTGACCATCACGTTCAGACTGGAGCCTCAAAATGTGTGGCATGGATAAAAGAAAGCGGAAGAACTTTTTATAACCATATAAGTCTCTATCAAGGCCAACCTTACTTCTGATCAACTCAGAACGAAGGTCTGAAATGGAAATTCCCTTTGGGTAAGAGTCCAAAATCTGACAAATCTGCTTTGTAACTGCCTTTGGAACTGGCCGAGGCTTAGAATCTGAACAACCCTCCAATAATTCTTCAGTCCATGGAAAGGCTGGTTGTTCAACTAAAAATGGGTCTTCCAGAGGCACCTTGTAATGGCCATACCAAGAACCATGAGGGCCATCAGGAGGTTGATTATAGTGATTTCCAGTCAGGTTCTCTCCTTTGAGCAGTGAATTCCAATTCCAAATAATACTGGCAGCACTGCAAAGAACGCTAGGAGCAGATTCTGGACTAGCAAGCAGTATGTTGTAGTTGTTCATCCGTAATCTATGCAATATGCTGGCAAAGTTGCGGTCACCAGAGATTAAAAGGAGATGTGCTGGAGGAGGATTTTGGGTAATCCAATACATAAGATCAACCAGAAGTGATCTATCAGCACTATTCTTTCCACCTGCATTGGTGGAACATTTGCATGGTAAAATAACAAGAACTGAGACAATTGACTAGAAATTAGAAAGTAAAGCAAAAAAGAACATACAAGACCTGCACTCCGTATTCTATCCCAAAACATGTGTAATGGTGAGACTTTAAAAACCAAAATAAGAAATGAAATAAACCACAAAACAAATTATAATAAAACCTTTTGCCAAGAAGCAAAAACATACCACTGGGGACATGAGCAAGGTTAATTCCAGTGGAAGAAAGCGCCTCCTGGTTAGCTCTAGAAAGTTGCAAAATGTCTCCGAAAGCCGTAATCTGAACAGGACCTTTAATTCCATTGGCCCTGACAGCGGCAGTGATCATATAAGCAATCTTAAACACATTGACACCTGCAGGCAAATGGCAGTTCTCAAAATCCCACCAAACCGAAACCTTAACGTGCCTTGACTCCTCATCGTGGCTGTGCGACAAAGAATTGGAATGGAAAGGCTGGGTTTGGGAAGTGGAGAAATGGGAAATGAAGATTGAAAGTGAATATAAGGATGGAGAAGAGGAAAAGGAAAGAAGGGTTCTAAGAGGGAAGCATTTAAGGTTCATTGTTAATGAAAAAATGGGGTTTTTGTCATTGCAAAGATACTGTTCATGGAAAATTTTCAACAACGGTGGTGACAAAGACCAGCGAGGGTTTTAGGAAAAGACAAAGCAGACCTAAAACGCCTTTGATTTGATTTTTCTTATAAAAAAAAAAAATTAACATCAGGGCACCTGCCGTGCATGTCCACATACATTTCTTTGGGCTTTTTGAGTGCTTCCCCTCCAACGCAATACACAAAGTATTTGTTGGGTTTGGTTTGCTGTTGTGATACGAGTTTGGGCCTAAGCAAGATAGATCCAAAGTTTTTTCTTTCCTTATCCAGAGAAGAGTATTTCACCTGAAATTTTTTTATAATTATATAATTATTTAATCATAATTAAAAATTATGTAAGGATCAACCATTTATAAATATAAACTTTACATGATATTTTAATTATTTTTATAACTTTAAATTCTAATTGATTAATTATAGTATAGTTATTGTAAGGCTTATATGTTTAGAATTTTCCTTTCAACACTAATATAAGACATTGATAGTGTTAAAATTTTTCGATAAGTATGCTACTATTAATTGATGATTTTAAAGTTTAATAAAATAGATTAATAAATTTAATCTTAATACAAGATAAGTATGTGAGTTTAAATAATTAATTGTTATTACTTACATGTGGAATTTATGCATTTTATTAGGTCAGTATAATTTGATAGTTATGTAAACCTTTGATCTGATAAACTGTTAATGAGAAAGTTTCTAAGATTTTAATAAAATTAACTAAGGTCACTTCTTCACTTCTAATTTAATGATATCTACTTATTAAGAGTCGCTGGTAAGAGAAAAGTGAAGATAAAGACCTATTTTGTAAAAAATTATTGTTGCTCCCATGCATCAACTATTACCTCTCAAACAAGTGCGCAATGTAATTGAATTCACATATGATTCTTGAGATTTAAAATTATGCTTACATATGATATGTGAGCCTCTTTATGTAAGATTAAAACTCAAATATTATTTTTAAATTTATTTTGAATAAAAAATATATTGTTTTAGACGAAATATTTAGCTTGCCAAAATCCTATTTTTGATAAATTTTTTCTGAAAATTAGATTATGATTTTTGTTACTCTCGAAACAAGTATTGAAATCATACCAATAATTTTTGATAACTTATTTTGTTAAAAAATAAATTAAGGTGTAAAGTTTGATTCAAAGTATAAATCAAATTATATGAATTGATTAAACTTGATTCATGTTATTTTGATGTTATTTTGAAGCATGAATTTTGTAAATTTGTAGGTTAGTTATAGCTTAAAGGTTTTAATTGATTCAAAATCAAAGGAAACCATGAATAATTTAAAAATGCTTTTAAACTGGTGAAATATCCATATTCATAAAACCAAAAAAAAAAAAAAAAAACCACGCTACTTAACAAATGAAAAGGTACAGCTCCATTGCCGCGCAATGGTTAGAACTTCAAAAGCAGATGGTGGTAATATCATACTTTTAACAAAGTTGATAGTAATTTTGAATTGATGTGGAAAAGGGAACATTATTGGGGTTTTGTACATGCCTTTTCTGTCCATTGTCTGCCTATATATTTATTATCACCAGTTTCATTATTAACTTTGCTTTTGGATTAAAATAAGCTAAAAAAGAACAATTTTCAGTGAAAACTATAACAGACCAGAATGGGTCAAAAAGATTTCCAAGAATTCGGGTCGTGATGACCCGGCTTGGTGGGGAAGATGGCTGGACAACTAGCCCACGTAATTCTCACGTGGATGGAAAAGAGTGTGGGGCATGTGTTTCAGTTATCCTGTGTTTGTTCTCGACTCTATTTCGTTAGCTTAGTAAATTCAAGTGTATTTTGTCTTATTTTATGAAATATTTAATATTTATGCATGTAGGGCTTAGTGATTTTGACCATTAAAGATTTTTAAATTGTTTCTTATATAATTGTTCATGATAAACCAATAAGGTATTTCAATTGTCACCAATCACAAACTATTAACGAAAATGATTCAATTTAATTAAGAATATTTCATTAAATATTATAAAAATTATCATCTTACAAGAGTATAAGTACTTCACTTTCTCTTAAAAAAGATAGAGTTTGGATATAAAGCTCATGAAGGAACATATATAGTTTTCAACCTAGTGTTCCCTAAATCAAACTGAAAACCAAAAAACAAAGTAAAAAGGTTAGTAAATAGATAAAATAACCATTAAAATTTAAGACTATTAAGCCAAAGAGTATGATGAATTTAAAATTTTATTGCTTGACTCTCTTTTGATATTTTGTAATTGGAGTCACCAAACTATTATAACATATAAGTTTATGAACCTATCACTAGACATAACAAGAGAGGTCATCAATAATCATTTTTCGAGGTAGGTGTGATTGGCCACTAGGTGAATCATCATTTTGAGGAAATTCTAAGCTTGACTAAGATCTTTAAAAGAATAGATTTTGATCCATGTTTCAAAACTAAGTTTGGGAGTTTTGTTACGTATGAGAAATATTATAACACCACCACACGCTTTGGCCAAAAGATGATACCACTTAATTTTAAATTATCTTAAGGATCTTGGTTTTAATGGTATCTATTTTTTAATGTTTAAATATTTGAAATAATCTTCTAAGATTTTTTCATCAATATAACAAAATTTATAAAAGTACTTCTTTACCTTAAGAGTATTCAAGAATCTTATTTATTTTCTTGAATCATTTATTAAATTTTGTTTTACCAAAAACATATCTAAATTTTTTTACCATTTGGACCAAATTCAAAAGTATTTTCTCACTTAAAGTTTTTTAAAAATCATATTTTTGTGATTACTAATAATTTTATCCTCAAAATTTATTCTTTATTATGTAAGTTTTATTTCTAATTTTTATTGTATTGAAAATATATCTAAAATTTTCACTATTTGAGTTAAATTTAGAAATATATTTCATAGAATTTCTTATTATAATGCTTTATTCATTATTTATTTTCTAATTTTTAGAATGAAAATAAAATGCCAATTATGTTTTTCAGAATCTCATCTAAATTTTTCTACCATTTGAGTTGAATATAGAAAATTATTTTGCCAAGAAATCTCCTAGAAAATCAACTGTTTGTGATTTTATTAGGATTTTATTCTTGGATAATTGCCAGATATTTTTAAAAAAATTTATGTCATTTTTTTATTTGATTTGGAAAAGAATGTAATTATTTTCATGTTAAAATTTCATTTAAATTATTCCACTATTCGGGTTAAATTTAGAGAAAATCTTCACCTAAAGATTCTTTAGAAAATTGACCTTTAGAAATTTCTAAAAAAAATCTCATCATTAGATAATTGTTAAGTCATTCCAAAATCTTATAAAGTTTATTTATTTTTTTATAATAAAAATAAATAATAATTATTGTTATTGAAATTTTATCTAAATTTTTTCTCCATTTGGGTTCAATTTTAGAAACATCTCACACCTAGAAATTTCCTAAAAAATTATCCATCTATAATTTCAAAGAATTTCATCTTTGGATAATTATAATTTATTTTTAAAATCTTATTAAAGTTTTGTTTTAAACTTTTTTATATTTATTATAATTTAGAATAACTTTTCCTAATAATTTTTTTTCTAAAAAATTTAATCATGCAAAATATGTCAAATTTCATTAGAAGAGTTGTTGAAAACTATAAATTTCATTGGAAAACTTATTGAAAAATTCAAAATTTCACTAAAAATTCAAAAAAAAAAATTCTAAAAATTTCTAAAAAAAGAGCCAGAAATTCAATTTGAAGCATTTGGGCCTCTTGGATCTTTCAATAACACTGTCAACTTACAATTTGAGCTTAATCAATTAGAATTCCTTGCATCTTTTTGTTCATGTTTTCGAATATAAATTTTTGAATATTTGATTGAATGATATGTAAATAATATATTTGACATTTCATCTTTTAAATAGCTAATTTGAATATCTTTCTTCCAAAAAGAAAATTTCAAATGAAATAAACAGTTGTTTTAAATTTATGCTGAGTTGATAAAATAAATTTATTATAAATTCTCAAGCACGTCAGAGATATTTATATTAAATCTGATAATTTATATATTTATATTTGATTTTTTTTGTCAAATATATGTAAATATATGAAAATTATTATATCACAATTTATATCAATATATCAAATTAGGGATTTTTTATTTTTATTAAAATTTTAAATTATATTGTTTTTTTTAATATTCTTCATTATATTATATTTAAAATTGTCATACTTTATTGATGCCAATAAGTTGGAAACCCTTCTCTCCCATCACCACCCCATGATTCTCTTTTTTTTTTTTTTTTTTTAAGTGAGAGAGTTTCTTTCAATTTCTTTTTCCTCCTCTCGTGAGGTTGAAAGAATCAAAGAAACCACTCGAATTAGTGCAAACACTATATGTAGTAGAATATCTTGTCATTTCAGATAGATGTTGCGCTCAAACAATTTGAACCTTTTGCTAAAAATAAAATAGATTTATCTGTTGTGGAATAGGGTCACACTGTTGTGGAATCGGGTCACAGCCATCACTTACGCTATATAAATGGCAGTGGAGTACCTGTTCTTCTTTCTGATCAGCTCCCAATTATATATTAGATACGATAATATTATATGAATAAGATATAAAAATAATAAAATTTAAAATTTTAATAATAATTATATATATTTAATAAAATAAAAAAATTTATATTTTAATATCGAAATGAATTGTGATATATTATTTTTATATAAAATATGATATAAATATATAAATTTTAATAATTTTTACAACATAAATATATAAATGTTTAGGTCTATTGTATATTTTGATGAATTTTTTATTGTAGTAGGTTACTGATATATATATTTTTATATGATTTATTATTTATCATTAAAAATTTAATTTAATCGATCCTTCCTAGTTTTGTCATTGTCTGGCTGGTAGTGAAATTTGTTTATAAGGTTATTACGGTTTACTTCGTAATTAATTATGATAATTTAGTAATTTTTTAGTTTATAATCTAATGAATATGTGATAACCTTCTTACAATAAAATGCCCTATCATGCAATATCCCATTCAACAGCTTCGAATCAACCCTTAAATTTTAATACTTTTTAGAATTTATGACCCAAATCTCAAAAAATTGAATAGATTTTGGATCTGTTAAATATATTGTTGTGGATTAAGTTTACTTGATAGATAAATTTACATGGTGGATAAATTAGAGGACATGTAAATAGAAAGAAGTCTTGAAAGGATAAGACATAAAAAAAAAAAAAGATATACTTAAAATTGTAAGGTTTCAAAGAATTGGAAATGTATATCCTTGATGGTTAAAAGAGAGTGTTAATGGTTATAAATGTTTGGTTTGAAATTGTTGAGACCGAACGTATTTGGCTTGAGATTGTTGAGCAAGATTGCTCTTAGATTTGAGATTATTGGGTTTGGCATGTGTTTTATGAGTTAGGTGTTAATTTATTTATAATATTTTTAACTAATGAATTTTTTCTTTCATACATAAACGAAATAAGTTTAGTATAAAATTATATTAAAATTTTGTCTCTTGTTATGTTTGAACGATGATTAATTGGACCTTTGCATAAGAGTATTAGTCACATGTTGCTTAAAACGACTTTCCAAGATAAATTCTATATAACCTTAATTATCCATAACCTTACTCTATAGCTATAGTAATAATAAACAAATTAAATGCTAAATTATTAACCAGATAAATAGACCTTAATATAGAGAGGACAGAAAAACTTTGATTTCTGTCGTCTACTTGCACATAGTTTAATCTAATATTTTATACTGCTTCATCGTTACAATTAATAATTGAGGACATGAACGATGTCGGGAAAAAACAACTTTTTTTTTTTTTTAACGGCATTACGGAAATGATTCAAATCCCCATTTGAAGTTCCCAATTAGGCAAATTGACCTAATTAAACATTCTATCCAATCCAATCTGACCAATTTCAATTGATCTAAATGACATGATTTTAGAGTGATCTAAATTAAAAATGATTCATGATCAAAGTTAGCCTTAACTTGAATTTTTATGTGCTCGATGCTCACAAATTACTAAGATATGAAAATTTTGTCTTAAAAAAAAAAAAAAACACTCACCCACATCTAAGCGTATAACTCAAATCAAATTATATTAAATTTAAAAATCAAGAATTCAAATAAAATTATAACTAAAGTCTCAAATAATTTAAATCCAAAATTACTTTTTTTAAGACAAAAAATTCTCTCCTGTTTATTACGGTGATGAAGAATCAAATTATCTTTCCTTCTAGCTATAGTCGATTCCTTTATAATCTCGCAATTTATTTTTGGACAAACTCACATAAGAGTGAGGTTGGAGAGTAGAAAAAGATAGTGAAAATGTAATTAATATCTGTTTTACTTTGCATATTTCAAAGTGTGGGAATTTCTCAATGAATTGATTTGTCATGCTGTTGCAGCCTTTGACGCTGGCACAGTCATAAAACGTACGTGTTTAGAATGACAAAAAATTCTGTGAATCCCATTCTGTTTAAAGAATGGATGAAAACCCAAAAAAAGGGATCCGGAGGAATTCAAATCTCACTATAGAAAAAAAAAAATTCAGTACAATTTTAGTGTTTCTTTGGACCTCTTTGGCCCCTTCCTTTTGTGTTTATGATGTTTACCTTTTAAATAATATAGATTCTTCTTTCGGCTAAAGGAAAATGGGTAAACTTTAATTAATTATATCAAAAGCTATTGCTTAATTAGGCACACTTATGCTAACGAATATTACCTTTTCTGTCCCACACTATCCTGAGAATTCAAAAGAATTGTATGCATAAATATATTGATATATAAGTGCAGCACTTTCACAATCAAGGAAATTAATCAAATATGACTTCAATATAAATGCCAGCAAGGCTTCAAAATTCTGCGCATGCATGAAAATTAAGCTAGACATATTATAGTTAATTAGTATATTTTTAAAGAATAATATCCAAAAAATTATCGAATTTATTAAAAATAAAATAAAATTTAATATTTTGTTACATAAAATTAAGGTTATAAATTTTTATTTCATTGTAATTAAGGCTCAGTTTGAGTTGAGTAAAACTCATAGATTGAGTGGTTTACTCAGATTTCTGAAAAGGTCTACTAATATGACAGACGTTGAATTTCTGCTATGAACACGTCGCCGGTAGATTAGGCAGCTCCACTCTCCAAACAATGGCATGAATAGGGATTTGTATGTTAAAAGGTTCAATTTTTCCTTTCTTTTTTTTTTTTTTTGTGGGAACAAATCTCGAGATATATATTGTTTCAACTCTCATAGTAAAATGCAGATGTACAATTTCCTTATTATTAAATTAGAGATAAAAAAATTACACATACATTAAATTGAAGTTAATTTAAGTACGTAGATATAACAAATGTCTTTTTACATGTTATCAATTGATTTTTAAGTTAATATTTATAAAAATTTAACACGATATCATATCAAATGTTGCCCTTATTTGTTATCTCCTCTGAAATAACTTTGTTATGCACCCGTTATCTCCACATGCGAGGAAAATATTAAAAAAAAAAAAGAAATCTCACATTTATTAAATTAAGAGTAATATGAACATATAAATATAAAAAACTCTTCACAGTTATCATTTTAGATTGAATATGCTCTCATAAATTTAACTGCGTTTACTAATTTTGTAGATAGGTTAAATTTTCTTGCATTTTGTATAGAAGCAGGCATGAAACACGGAGGGTGTCATGAAAAGAAAGTGAAATCTGCGATAAGCTCGCTCTTTTTTTACGTGGATCAGGCTTGTAAATGATCGAGACAAAACGGTATGGAGATTTGACTTCAGTATGAGTAAAGCTTTTTCAAGTTTCAACCACCAGCTTTATCAACTTCTCTCCAACAAAACACTACTATTGGAATCACTCATTGCTGCTGACACCATCTATTAAGTCACAAGGAACAAGTGAACAATTGACCTATAAAAGATCTTGTAATTAAGGATCTAAAAGCAAGAAGAAATCCAAGTTGTATTAATCAAAAAGTAAGTTTTTTTTTTTTTTTTCTTTAGGTGGAAAGAAAACAAAACAAATTAAAAAGATATGATTATGATGCACCATGCACTAACAAGAATTTTATGCATCTTGCTCTCTAATTTCATCTCCAACAGAGAAAGCATATGCTTTCTGATCAACGGTTATCCAGGATTGCCTATTTTGGTTAATTGGTATGTTTATCTTTTCAAGTTTTTTTAACACTTGTAGCTGAAGCTTGAAGGTGGGGAAGACAATGGGTTCAAAGAAGCCTTTTCTGGTAGCGCTTCTGGTGCATGCTTTTTCTTCTGGCATGATCTTACTCTCCAAGGCAGCATTCAATATGGGTATGAGCACATCTGTGTTTGTCTTCTATAGACAAGTAGCTGGAACCATTTTCTTATTCCCTTTCGCCATGATTTTTGAAGGGTAAATGATGATAAACTCTGTTTCATGTTTTCTTTATAAATGTTTCCAATTAAGAAATTATTGCCCATTTTCATCTCTTCCTTCATTTTTGCATTCCAGGAAAAACGCTAAGCCACTTTCATTTCTGACCTTCTGCAAGATTTTTATGCTTGCTTTACTAGGGTATGTACATCATGTAATGCTTGGAAATTTCTCTTACTCCTTTCTGCTCGATCGAAAGACGAATGTCTTATATTGTGCTGATCATGAACTTTAACTGTTAAGTTCAGGAATGAAATTCGATCACCTGAAATATATATGATTTATATGTTTTTTCATTCAGGATTACCTTAACCTTGAACATTTACGGAGTAGCTCTCGTTTACACATCTGCAAGTCTTGGTGCTGCCACCCTTAATTGCATCCCCGTCGTAACATTTGCCTTTGCAGTTTTACTCAGGCAGGTTTTGGTAACATTTTTTTTTTAATCTTATGGTTTGCCTTGCTTTTACCTTTAACCTTCTCTTTTTATTTTTTATTTGAGGAAGGTGTAATCTGAAAATCAACTCTTTGAAAATGAGATTTGCAAATCACTAAAAATCTATAGGCTATAGCTCTCAAATGCACTTATTAAAGTTGTGCACTAATTAATCTCTCAATACATGTAGCAAACAATTACATTATAGATTTTTATAAAAAAATTTAATTAATATTCTAAATATTGCTTTTTTTTCAATCATAAAAAATAACTAAATAATCTAGTAATTATCAACCAATTATATGAAAAGAAAAAGCATTGGAGGAATTAGACTTGAAATCCTCCAAGACTTTTAATTGTACCAAATGACTAGAAATCATTCGTTCATTGGTTATACCATTACAACAACACCATGCCCTGTCAATTGGTGACTAATTTTCAATTTTCAAGATAAAGTGTCAACTTAATTGTACTAAAGTATTTGGGTGGGTTCAGTGGTGTTTCTGTATCTTCGTTAGCAAATATGTCATGCTTGGATGGTGCGTTTCTAGCTAACTTTATGCATTGTTGGAGTTATCGGGATTGACTTTTCATAACCTGGTTGTTCTTTGGTTCATGGGTAAAGAGTATACTTTTTCGAGTGTTTTGCCTTTCTTGTTTAGTGTTGACATAAGATTTTTTGTTTTTTTTTTGGGGATTTCCAGATCTCTTTTATACTATGGTCTCTTTCAGTGGCATGGTAAAAAATGTTCAAATAAACAATTGCACTTCTTTTATTATATTATTTATTTTTCTTAAATTATAATTTTTTAACACATGATATTCTTTATTCTTTTCAATAATTCATTATTTTTTTTTATTTCTTAATCCATGAAAATAAAACAACGTATAAAAAAGACTAAAAATCTATCGTTTAAAATATAAAAATATATGAATATAAAATTTTAATGCAAAATCTTTAAATAATCATAATGCCATTACAAAAATTAAGTACAAATAACTAAAACAATTATTATCTTACATGACAATGGTGTTTTAAATTTTGCAAGTGAGATTAGAAAATTAACATGTATCTATTAAAATATTTTTAAAATAATAAATTATTTAATTATTAAATAAACATATGATAACCATCTAATCTCGTCTTTGAATTTTAAAAGCTCGACCATTGCTGTAAAGAATAATCTAAAAGGAGAGCTTCAAAATATCATTTTACAATTTTTTTTTGAAGAGTTTTCATATTTTGAAAATCATATTTAATATATCAAATACATTTCTTCAATTTATGTAGTCAAACAAATTATTCATTAAGTTATCTTCTATTGGTTTAAGTAATAATTTCTTTTATATTTTTTTCATGGCTAAAACCTTCTTTAGATATTGCTAATAAGGTATTGACTTAGTCGCAATGAGTAATCTTGAAACACTGAGTTCTCAAATCAAGTCTAATCCAACTTTATCTTTGATTTATCCAATTATATATTAGTTCGTTATTTGATTAATTTGTTTATTTGATGTAATTTATTGATTTTTTATATGTAATATTTGAATATAATTGCAACTTTTTTATATTAATAACTTTATAAAAAATTATTTTTGTATAATTCAACCACAATTGGTAAAAGCAAAACTAGTTTTAATATTAAAAAAAAAAAAAACTAGTGCATAAACAGCACCAATATGTTTCTAGCTAGTCTTAACTATTTTTCACTAATTACATACTGACCCCAATTTATTTTATTATATTATAAATTGATTCTTAAATTTTCATTTTAGTGAGTCAATTTATCTCAAATTTTAATTTTAGTGAAATTAATTTATGATTTATCCTATATTAATATATATATATTAGAGAAAATTTTCAAATTTCAATGGGTCAAATGACCTCACTTTTCTAACGTGGCTATGCCACTGGTCTTTCGAACCTTTAGATTGAATATTTGTAGTTTTCGGGTTACTTTTTAATAAATTCTCATTTCGATAAGAAAAAAATTTTTTTACATATCGGACAATTCTACATATAAATAGTATTTTTCATGCAAATAAATTGTATATATATATATATATATATTTAATTTTTATATTGTCAAATTTTTACGTGTGTATATGAAAATTTTATAGTTATTACGTGTATGTTCTCTTTTCCTTAAATTTATATATCCTCAGAGATCTCATTTGCATGAAAGATTGCCCTACAGGATGGAAACGGTGACAGTGAAGACTGTCCCAGGCATTGCAAAAGTTGCAGGAATACTGGTGTGCATGGCAGGGGTTGTTATTCTAGCTTTTTTCAAAGGTCCCATTTTGAAACCTTGGTTCCATCTTCATTTCCAACCTCATAGAGGGGACGAAGATGATCACCACGCATCTTCCGGTAAAAAATGGATACTTGGATGTTTCCTCTTGTTAGTTTCCTGCATATGTTGGGCCCTGTGGCTTGTACTTCAGGTAGCCTCCACAATCATTAACCTATTTCCCTTAAGAATAATTAATCCATACATTCACAGTTTTTGTTTCAATAAGGTCCATATGGAAAGAATTATTAAACCTCACACCTTAAACACCTATAGTAAAGGACTTTATTACTCTTTTCATTTAATAATTTTGTCTTAGTTTTAATTAAATTCTAACAAATATATATATTTTTTGAATTTATGGAAGGAAGGATTTGCATTGCTTTTTAACAAAAAAATTTATATGTACCAAATATTGAACTAAATTAAACCCGAATCTTACCTAGGTTAGTATACAATCACCTTTAAAATATAGCATCAATAGATTTGGAGTTTGAATTTCAATACCGGAATCTCCTTTTTTATTCTAGAACTGTGACCTTTTATATAAAAAAAATTATTAAGCCAAATTGGATGCAACTAATATATTTTTACGGATTGTCATGTCAAGACCCAAAAATAATTTTGTGGAGTATTGCATGACCGCCCCCCTCGCCCCCTTTATAACCATGTTCAATTGAAAAGCATAACTTATTATAAGCCACTTATTATTGTCAAATTGATGGTTCTAATTTCAGGCTAAAATTTTGAAAAGCTACCCTTGCAAGCTTACTTTCACAACCATTCAGTGCCTTTCAAGTGCAGTTCAGTCATTTCTTGTTGCTATTGCTTTGGAAAGAGATCCACACCAGTGGAAGCTTGGATGGAATGTTCGACTGCTCGCTGTAGTTTATTGTGTAAGCAAAGAGAAAGCCTCCACTAATAGCTAAGAGAAATCTTTATATGTTTGAGTAATCAAGGAGAACACAGAGATTTAAAAAAGAAAAAAAAAAGGCATCAAATGGTTAAAACTACTGTTCTCTCTCTTGCTTCTATACTTTTTCTTTTTACCGAAATTTCATTTTTTTTCTCAACATTATAAGACTAGTGTTGCATTGAACTGTAACAGGGGATTTTCGTGACTGGGGTTGCATACTACTTGCAAACATGGGTTATTGCAAAGAAAGGACCAGTCTTCCATGCTGTGATGACACCATCGAATCTGGTCATGACAATCCTTGGCTCAGTGTTCCTCTTGGGCGAGACCATTAATCTTGGAAGGTAAACAACTTGACCAGTTAATGAGCGAAGGCCAAACAAAATTTTGTTTCGGATAAGGAGTTGGTCATGATAATTTTGTTTTGCAAGTTAAAGAAAAAGAAAGCTAAAATGTTAATATATATCTTATTGTGGATGTAGTGTTTTGGGGGCAATCTTGTTAGTGATAAGCCTTTACAGTGTTTTGTGGGGAAAGAGCAAAGAACAGAACATGGGTAATCTGGGTTGTTTGCCTGTTCAAGATCAAACAGAGTACTGTAGTACACAAGCGAAGGAAACACCAGATAGCAGCAACCCCAACCCTCGCCCGTCACTATCTGCATAACATATCCATGTTCTTTGTTTGATGTGTTTTCTTATTTAAATGTATTGTTTTCCCCTGCCTTTTTGTAATTGTCTTATAGTTTTGACTTCCAAGCATATCATTGAACCATGTTCTGGAGATTAACTTTTTCTATCCAATGGTTGAAATACTGGAGACTTTGCTCTCCAATTGATTGAGAATCTGCAAGCATACAAAATCGTACTAAATAATAAAGTGAAAAGTAAAGTGCGTTTCCACATAGATTGTATATGAAAGACAAAGTATAAAAATTATTTCATTCAAACTTATACTTAGACAAACCGATAAGATATATCCAAAACAAAATATAAACTAAACACATTAAACCTAAAATATGCAAACTAAGATCAATCAAGCTAAACCAGTGCAAACAAGATTCAAATAACTCAAAATAACTAAAACCAAAACTCAATAATGCAAATAGAATGAAACCGAAATCAAATGGCTAAACCAAAAGCAAACAATATCAATTTATCATGCAATTTATTGTCATAACGGTTTTGTGTTTGTCCGACGAATTTGAAAACGAAATAAAAAAATAACGGAGTCGCCACCAATCTTTTTTGGCTAGGTGCGATTGGTCACCTATTAAAACATATCTTTTTAATGAAATCTTAAAATTAATTAAAATTTATTAAAAAGATAATTTTACGGTCTACGAAACAGTCTAGGTTCGAGAGTCGGTTATGCGTGGGGAATGATTAGCACCCCCACAACGCCCGTTAAAAATAGTACCAATTAACAACATGTTATCCTTTGATTTTTATACAAACAGTCTTATTTTCAGTATTCGAAAAATAATTTCTTTGATTTTTTATTTATTAAAAAAAATTATTCTCGAGAAAATAAATCAAAACCTTTTTATTGAAATAATTCTTAAAATATTTCAGTACGTTGGTAACATTAAAAGAACTCTTTCTCACCTAGAGATTTCTTAAAGCATCTCTACTTGGAATACTTTTAGAATCTCATCTTTGGAGGCTCGAATTTATTTTTCGTAAGAAAATGTTATGTTAAAAAAAATTTATTCTCGAGAAAAATAAATTAAAACCTTTTTATTGAAATAATTCTTAAAATGTTCCAATACGTTGGTAACATTAGAAGAACTTTTTCTCACCTAAAGATTTCTTAGGCATCGCTTCTCGGAATACCTTAGAATCTCATCCTCGGAGGCTCGAATTTATTTTTCGTAAAAAAATATCATGCGTGCAATGCAAAATGTTACCATGTTTATGCACACATTTTATTCTCATTCAAAAATTTTATTAATTGTTTTATTAAATTTTTTATTTTAATTAAAATTTTGAAAAAAAAGAAATTTAATTATATTGGAGATTTTCTATAAATATTCCAATACGCTAGTAATATTTTACAAAAAATCTTCTCACCTAGAGATTTCTTAAAGCATCACTACTCGGAATACTTTTAGAATCTCATCATTGGATTAAATTTCTTTTCTTCATATTTTTATTACTTATATTTTTAATTTATTAATCAATTTTAATTTATTATTTTAAAAAAAGAAAATCTTTACTGTATTGAAAATTTTTTATAAATAATCCAATACGCTGGTAGTATTTTTAAAAAAATCTTCTCACATAGAGATTTCGTAGGCATCACTACTCAGAATACCTTTGAATCTCATCGTCGGATAAAAATTTCCTTTTCTCTTATTTTTTATTAGTTTAGTATTATTATTAAATTTATTTTTATATTATTGTTTTTAAAGTTTATTAACATAATTACATAAAAAAAATTTAATAACAATTTCATCATTTAATCTAACAAATATAAATATTTTAATATACATAAATATTAATAAAATAATATATAAAAAATAAGAAAAATTAAAAAAAATATTTTTTTTACCTGAACCGGACTCGTCAACGGTCCGGTCAACACGCGATTTGGTTAGGCGGTTCGGTCCGGCGGTTCAGTTCGGTCTGGGCGGTTCGGTCCCGGTCCAATAAGACCGGTCAGAGGCTGATGAATGAAGCGGGTCGCGGGTCGGGTGCGTGGACCCCGGGTCAGGTCGAAGGTTGACGCGCGGATCCTCCTTGGCTGAAACGGCGTCGTTTTGGGTCTTTCTTTAAACGATGTCGTTTTGAGTTTTTGCTCTACTATATATAGCTGAAGATTTTTTTTTGGTTCATTTGGCTTTTGTTTCAAAAAAAAAAAGGGAGAGAGGGAGAGAGAGAGAGCTGGGGGAGAGGTTCGCTGGCTGGTCGCCAGACCATCGTGCCGGCCGTCCTCTGGCTCACCGTTGGCAGTCGCTGTCGGTGATTTTTGGTCACCGAAAAAGGTGAAAATACTTTTGGAAATTCTCTTCGATGCAATCTTTCTAGATCCGATGTCTTTTTTACCGGAAACAGCCCCGATCGACATAGATTGGGGCTCAAAGTTTCGATCTCCTTTCTCTCTCTCTTTTTTTGGTGGACAGAATTGACTGATCTCTTTTTTTTTTTAGGTGGCTTTTTGGCGCTGGGTTCCCTATTCCAGGGGATTGTTGTTTTTTTTTTTGTGTTTTTGCAGAATTTTTTTTACAAAAGCTCTCTCTTTTTTTTTTTTCATTCTTTCTCGGTTGCTTCCCTTTTCGGTTCCATTTTTCCCTCTGGTTTGCAAGCTTTATTTATAGAGCTTGTTGGGATTCAAATTTTAGATTTTTTGGGATTCGAATCTCATTTTTCAATTGAAAAATCACACCTACCGTCCGTGATTGGTGGCTTGTTGGGAGGCTAGTCGGGTAATTGGTTGGGGGGCCTGGCGACAGCGGCTCCGTTCCAACTTTCTGATTTCTGTCTTATTTTGTTTCTTTTGTTTGTTTACTTTTTTTGTTCACTTTTTTTTTGTTAAAAATATTATTATTAAAATTAAAACAGTAGGCTCGGACAAAATCAGTGTCTACATTTACAAAACTCAAAAGCTATATGAATGCTAATAAACATGAACCAAAATTAATCAATCAATATACATGTAATATTAAGCAATAGAGCAAGAACCAAAACTAATATGAATCAAATTAACCTAAACCAATTCAGATTTAACCAATTAGCAAGCAAAAGATGAAAATTAAGCTTACCAACCCTAAACCAAATTAGACAGTACAAGTCGATTAAGCTTTAAACTAACCTAATTAACTTTTAAAACTTGCAACAAAATTTTATGAACTCAATTTAATCTAATAACATACAGTAGAATCTAATCAAACCAAAATAGAACCGAAGTTGAACAATTAAGCAAGAAACGAATCTAATAATCCTTAATTCATGTAACACAAGCAACCCTAATCAAATAACCCTAAACCAATTATAATCAAGATGCAAATATGAAAGAATTAAACTTAAAATTTACCTAATAACTAAAACAGAAACTGTTTTGAAACTAGAACATGTGAACCAAATGGACCATGCAATAAATCAACCAAATTAAACCATACTTATGCAACCATGCAACTAAGCAACAACTGAGTTTAAATCTAACCCAAATAACACAAACCGATTGCTTTAATAAGATATGGACTTGCAATTGAATGAATAAGAACAAACCAATAGCTAAACCGAATCAATTACACGAGAAATTACCAAGATTGCAATAAGAATAATCAAGATTAGATAAACCGAATGGTAAAGAATCATAAACTAAACCAATTGCAAAATTAATAATGAAAACCAAATTGAAAAGTCTCTAGAACAAAATTTAATTGAATCAAAACTTAAAAGAATTGTGCATAAATTGAAATTGAACAAAACAGAAAATTAAAGACTAAAGAAAGCTTAAAACAAAAAAGTTTTGAAAGCAAGAATATACAAGAAACCCTAATAAGATTCTAATAAGATTGGTCTATAACCCCCTTTTGGAACTCCAAAGGAAGCTAGCATATTTTTGGTTGGAATGAATTTCTTGCATCCAAAAAAGCTCCTCGAAGTTGAATACAACTAAAACTCTTTAATAGAATTCTTATTGATCAATTCTTGTCATCTAGACCTTAACCATCTTCTAGTAACTCAAAGAATACATAAAAGAATCTAAAAATTGAATCGTGCATACCAAGAATACAGATTCAACCGAGGTGTACTAATCTCTAAAAGTCATCTTTAAATTGCTTGTTCTTGAACTCTTCATTTGCATACACAACTTGGTCTTGAATATTGGAGAAAAATTAGAATTTTTCTTCAACCAAAACACTTGTTGTTGCCACCCATAATATATCTCCTTTTATAACTCATGCAAATCCTATTTCAAGTAGAATAGGAATAACAAATCCTAATGAGAATAGGAAATCCAAATCCAAGTAGGAAAAATAAAATAAATAGAATTGCCACCTCATCATGCCACATCATCATTTATAATCCTATGCATGTGCATCTACATAATCTACCATGGACTTGCATTCACTTGAAATTACAATTCTACCCTTCATTATAGCCGAAATTACCTACTTTGACTATTGCATGAATTTTTTTCCATTTTTAATAAAGATTCAACAATTCCACTTCTCTAATTTCAGCAAAGCAATCTTGAACATCTTTTCTACTTCAAGATTTTCAAGAATTAGAAAATCAATAATTACCAAAAACATATCAATGCATCAAGAATCATCCAAGATTGATCAAGAATTAGCAAGATTCTTCACAATTCATTTTTTTCTTCAAGAATTCCTACAAAACAGAAAATTAAGCACATTAAGAATAAAGAGAACCTTATTTAGCTAAGAATTAAGCAAAAATCAATCAATTAAGCACTAAAAACTAGTATAAATAACTCAATTTTATAGTGTTATCACCAATTTGCCTCATCAACAAGGAAAAAAAAGATTATAATCTGATAATTAACAAAATTTTTTATTACCACTTTTTTTTTGGTAAAAATACATGACATGTTGCCTTGTGAAAATAATAATTAATGACTATCTCTAAAGAAATAAGATTATTTTCTAATAGAAAACGAGAATAAGTTGTATCCAAGTTTTTTAAAAAAAGTTTTTGTTTTAAATGTACCATTATATTTTAGAAAACATAGTTTAATCACTGTAAGGAAAAAACTTTAGGATCAACTATTTGTTATCATGTATAGAAGTGAATACTTTAATTTGAAATTAGTGGAGCATAGAAAAAGAAAAAATTCCATCCAACCGCAAAGTGTCAA